ACATTATCTTCATTGTGACTCTTTTTATTTATTTTGAACTTGTTTTGTTTTTTTTAAGTTTAAAGGAGTTAGTCATCTTGCTGACTCAGTTTGTTTTTCCTCCTGTGTGTCCTGCAGCTATCATGGCTTTCCTATTTGACTTGAAGGACCTGGTTGACCTCATGTCCATCGGCACCTTGCTGGCCTACACTCTGGTGGCTGCCTGTGTGCTGGTCCTCAGGTAGTGTTCTTCCCATCAACTCAAAGGTTGTCAGGACACTAGTGGATTGAGGAGATGAAAAAGACCACAACATTTGAAGTCAGAGGCTCGTCTGTGTCAAAGTGCTTTTAGCACCAAACAGCTTCAGGATCTGGAGTTAAACCCTCGACCGATGACAGAAGGACAGAAGCTTTCATACATGGGGCGCCTGCTCTACCAACTGTACTAAACCAGCGCCCCTTATTTACTTTTTATATTATAAATAATGAATGCATGTTAGACTACAATTATTGAATGTGCTAATAATTTGTAGCATAGTCCCATTTCTTCAGGCCCTCATAATGAATAGGCTGCAGTGTGATGATGTTAAAAAAAACTCTGCTTGTGTGTCAGAAGTCTTGAAGTCTTTTTTGAATCAGATATTTGGTCCGCAGGTACCAGCCTGAACAGCCCAGAGCGGCCTATGAGATGGCCAACACTCAGGATGACCCTGAAACGGAGTCTTTCAACGAGGGGAAGATGGACATGTTGCCACAACCAGACGATCACTTCACCATCAAGAACCTCCTCAGCCCCTCAAACACAGAGCCGTCCCCTCTGTCCGGGTTTGCGGTCAACATTTGCACCAGTATCATCGGTAAGATACTCGCAGAGTCCACACACCGCTGCATGATTCACCTGGTTACTGAACATCATCTGATAACTTCTGGTTCTCCCCTGCAGGAGTGTTGGTGTGTGTGTTTAGTATTGTAGCTGTCCATGGAGGTCTGGCAGTCTGGTCTCTGTTTGTCATCACTTTGATCCTGGTGGTCTGTATGATTCTCACCTTCATCGTGTGGAGACAGCCGCAGAGCAAGACCAAGCTGGCATTCAAGGTAGAGCGTGTTCTTTCACCAAACAGTTTAATTTTAAAGTCATACATACAGTATGAAAATGATCAGAACATGAGACGTGATGTGACTCTGTAACTCTCATTATCCCCTTTTCTGACACTTGGAGGTTTCTTTAAAAGCTTGTCATTCAATGTAACGGCTGCGATGTGTGAGCTGTAAAACACAGTGAACAGAGGTTCAGAGTTCATTAACTTCTAACCTGCTCAACAGTGACACACACTTAAGCCAAACAACTACAAATGATGTGTACTTACCCTTTATTGTAGACTATTAACAAAGCGCTTGAGTTCATGAAAAAAAACCTGCAGAGTAGTGAAATGTAGAAACAGAACATTTCATCACTTTGATTTCTTTATTTGTTGATTAAATTGGATTCAGTGTAATTGCTTTAAAGAAGAGAAATGAATCTGACACATTGGCTGTCTGGAAAACATGGTTTAAAAACCTCAAATATGTGTCCTGCTTTTGAAGAATTTGACAGCCCTTTCATAGCATCAACATTTCATCTTGCAGTTTCAGAATAGAGCCTCTAACACATTTCTTACTGAAGCCTTGAGTTCTTGCTCCTACATTCGTTTGCTTAGTTGTGAGTTTTGTGAAAACAGGTAGTCGGGGATGATTTCCAAAATGTTTCTGGAACTTTGCTTTTATATTTAAGGTTGAATTGTCTTTACTATTCGTGTATTTACTAACCAAATAGATGCTTTCTGTCCTCTCAGGTTCCCCTGCTGCCCTTCCTCCCAGTCGTTAGCTTGTTCATCAATGTCTATCTGATGATGCAGCTCGACAGAGGAACCTGGATGCGCTTTGCAGTCTGGATGGTTTTTGGTACTTTTTGGATTTTTTCTTCCAATTTGTCAAGTATAATATTTTCTTGACCTTGTTTTATAAATAATTGTGATTTCCACAATGTTTTTTTGTTTTGTTTTCACCATTTGTAGGATTCCTAATCTACTTCACCTATGGTATCCGCAACAGTGCCGAGGCAGTGGTGACCAAGTCTAACAGCTACACACCAGCCTGCACGATAAACAGAGAGCCCATGGCCACGGAGAAGGATGCCTTCATACGCAACTCCCAAAACCCCGATGCAGAGGACGACGATGATGATGATGATGAAGAGTCGTGAGGAAACAGGAGGTTCACTGATTCGTTCTGCAGATCGAACATTGACCTTCGACAAAATGTTTTAAAGAGCTGCAAAGGGGGGGGGGGGGGGTGTATGGAGATCTATGTGTGGTACTGCTATCAGCGCCTTGTGCTGTCTTTTAATTCTGGCCACAAGAGATGTGACCTATGTGGCTTTTTGATCTCGTTAGCCTTTTTAAATTCCAGGTCCAAACTTTTTAAAGACATAAGATTCAACTGAAATCTTAGAACTATTCAGAAGATGCTGTTTTCTTTCTGAACAGTCCTTTTTGAATAATTGACGCGTTGATGTGATTCATTTTACTGAGCACAATGAAATCTTTAAAACCAAAGGCAGAGCGCAAGTAGATTGAACTATTTCTTATCCAGGCCTATGAATTTCAGAAATATATATGCTGTTTATATTTCTTCTTGAGACTTCTTCTCCGAGCTTTTAATTGCTATATTTTACATTTTAGCTATCAACTGTCAACACTATTTATTTTCATCCCAACAAATCCGGACAACTTGAGCAAAAAAAAAAAAAGATGTAACGGTCTAAAAAAAAAAAAAAAAAACGTTAATTTTTTGGTTAATCTTTTCCGTATGTAGATGGCAGATTCTCTGGTTAGTGTTTGTCACTCATGTTGCTTCCTAAAGAGGCACAGTGCTGGCTACTGTGTCCTGAATCCAACGGCGATCATTTTTATCAAATCTAAGTCACTGTATTTCACTCTTTTTATGAATTACATTAATTAAAAATCGGCTACAAAGTATTCTGAAACCAGCTGAGGATGTCCCGGTCTCTTTGGTGCCTTATGTGTAGTTAAGTTTACCTCAAAGGTTGAACTTTGTGTTGAGATAAAAATGTGCTGTACCTGTTCTTTTTTTACACAAACAGTATAACTCGGAGACAGTGCTCTAGATAATCTGGTACAGTTATGTGTTGTCAGGATGTCTTGGTGAGGAAAGGGAGATTTTTCATGCCGCTGGTTTGCTCAGCGCACATTTACAAGACAGACAGTTTTGTCTGTTGGCAAAACGCACCTTGTTAACCAGCAAAAGAGGGGAAAAAAAGCTGCTAATGTGGGCTGATAAAGCGGTGCAGTGGATGTATTATAAGTGCCTGTTTCCCAGATGAATGTTACACCTCTTTAGAGGATGGCTATTGCTCTATCAGCAGCTACTAGAATGAAATGTATCTTTTGTTTGTAGATGGAAATGATTGCATTTTGAAGAACACATTTATGTAAAAAGAAATCAACTATTCTCACGTTTAAGTTCACACAGATCTGAATCTGTATAATCAGTAAAGTACGATCAGTTGTGAATATTGATCACCCGAGGTTTCCGTAGTGATGACTCCCTGACAGTTTGCAGTTTCACTAGTGGCTAAACTCAGATCTCATCATCCGTCCATGTGTGTGTGTTAACGACGAACTCAAATGCTGACAGAGTTAAAAAAATGTCTTTACTCAGTTGCTTTTTAAGTGGAAACCCTAAAGAATGAATTGTTTTGCTATTTATGCTCCAATGAGAGGTACTATCAGTGTGAGGTGAAGCCAGATTTTGTTGGATGTAATTGAATAATGAGTCAATCAATGTAGATATTTTAATGACCCTCAGTGGAAGACTCTATAATGATGACTTTGGTACAGGTTACAAATTAAAAATACTGGAAAGCTTTGTGGGTAAGCACAGTTAAGGTGGCGTATTTGTTTGAGAAGATTCCAAAGCAGCAGAAAGTCAATGTTAACCAAATAGTAAAATATGTTTTTGTTTATCTATCAAGAAGCCACTGCAGATGATAACATCATTTGTTTCTGTTATGAAATGGAGATGCATTATTAGCTTTTTAACAACATGTGATGTCTATATTTGTAAATACAGTTTTGCTTTAAAGTTTCACCTTATGTTACTCTAACCAAAAATCAACCAGCTTACATCCGTTAAATGTTTTGTTGCCAACACCACGGCAAATAAACAACACTAATAACACATATAATGAAGCCGTTCCATTAAGTAGATTTTGGTCAGGTTGAATTTCATCTCAGATTTGGATGTATTATTTACTTCTTTATACCTGCTGAGTTACAATTTGAATGTACGAGGCTTTGTGATATTTTGTCCTGAACAATGTTTTATGGGAACTATTGCATGCTGCACTATTTGAACATTTTACCATTTAAAAAAAACTTAATGAAGATTTCCAAAATAAAATAAATCTGTTACTGTTTTACATCCTGAACAGGTTTACAGTGCGTCATTATGGGAAAGGTCAAACTTCTCACTGTGTGTTGTCTTCACGCTGGTTGTGGTTTACATAGTTTCTTTCGTCCACTTGTAAATAAATGATGCTGAAAGTTCAAGCCACTGACTTTGTGTTTTTGTGACTGAGATATTGAAGGTCTGTATTCCTGTTATTCCTATGTGCTTGAAAAATGAATTATAAGTCAAACGTTAAAACAATTTGGAGTGTCTAACTTGCATTTTTTTTTACAAATTACTGTATTATATTACAAGTCCACCCCCCTCATTATAATATTTATAACAACGAATTTCTATTATGTAACACCTTTGCACTTAAGTGGAAAATTCCGTTTTGTGTATATGACACTAAAAAAAGCTTCAGCCCTTAAAGAAGTAAAAGAAATCGACAGAATGAACAGCTTGCTGTTCGTTACTGTATGCAGCTCTAGATAAATGATGCAGGTAAAATAAATGTTTGTTATCACCTGCAGGGGGCGTCCTGAGTCCGTGTCGACATGGGCGTAAGGCTCCTCTCGTCCCTCTCCTCCCTGTTTTTCCAGCGATGCTGCAGACTCTCCTCTTCATCACAGTTAACCTGGATTTGTCTCTGCTGCTCCTTCTCCTCCTCAGAGCCGAGCTCCTCCCAGGATAACCTCCTTCTGAACGGTAAGAACCACCACCACACACACCGGGGAAAGGCTGGATTAAGTCTGTCTCTGTGTCTCAATGTGAGATCAGCGGCGGTGATCATTGGATTTATTGACTGTACTGCATCTGCTGACAGAATGCGGATCGTCCTGTTGTTCCCGCTGCGTTCACGGTGTTAATTTGAAGGTTCTGGCTAATTGTTTCCAGAGGTGCATGTTGCAATGTAGCTATTGCATATAGACAACCTGGAAAGAAAAAAAAACAGCTAACCTACCTACCATAGGTGTGCACACCTCTGAGTGTGTGTATGTACGTGTGCATGTGTGTGTGAAGTGAGGTCAGATCCTAGATGATGTGTCCTTACACCTTTATTTCGTTTTTTTGTTTTGCAGTGTGAGTCTTTAAAGCAATACAGCTTCCTTGTTTGTTACCGTTTGGGGATCATGTGTGTGGATGCACTTTATTTTTAAAAACCGTAAAATGGGGAAGAAGGCATGAGCCATGAGCTGAATGAATAAACATTTGTCATAGTGAACTTAAAGATTTATTTTTGGTTTATTTTGAGTCAACACACTCATCCAGAGCACCCGTTTATTTCTCCATTATGCAAAAGGTCCAGTAAGGTAAAAAGAATCACCAAGGCCTCTATAAGACATCAGTAAACGCTGCGGGTAATTGTGCAGAATTAACATAGAAAGCATTATTCATCATTTTATTTTCATCTAATTTGAACTTAAAAAGTCAGAGGTATGTCAAACTATGGTTTTCCAGGCATGGATGTTGCCTTCACTTGTAGGCGTTACAGACACACTCTTTGAAGACCTTTCCAATTTCCTGATCAAGTCTTGCCAACAGGAGATCCTGTGTGGGCTTTGGTTGGTTACACAAAGAAGTCAGGACCACTGGAGCATGAACATTGGAGGGAGACTGATGCCTCCATTTTCACTCATCCTCAATATTTTATGAGAATTCCAGTTTAAGCAGCAAGTGAAGCAGCTGGTGGCCAAATGAAGGCCTTGATCTATGCCTCAGATCTTTGACTTTTTAACGTGATGGTGCTTCAGTTTTGTTTACAAACCCATGTTATTTGAGCACAGACGAATGCATGCATTCACACCTACTTTAATGCTCTGCACAGATTTCATAAGAGGCCGTGATGAAGGTCTCACCATCACACTGCATATCAGGAGGCAGGTGGTGGCGGTGACGGGGTGAGGAACAGAACGATGGGGGGATGGGGAACATGCTCAGAGAAGCATGTTGTTAGGGAGAACATAAATTTCCTCAATCTCGCTCTTCCATGGCCGTGTCACCACAGGCACATTATCAGCTGTTGCAGCAGCAGGAGAACCTCGAGAGGAAAACAACCAGGGAGCGTAAATGGAAAAGGGAGGAGACATGGCTCACTGACAGCATGTACAGTTGAGCACAATGTGTGAGTATGTGTGTGTGGTAGTAAAGGATGTAAAGAATCTCTCTTCTGTAGCTCAGAGTACTCACAGTGCACTTTTTCAGTCAGAAAGATGTGTAACATTCTGCTCCTTCCCTGGACTGAGACCCTCTCCTGAGGTTTGTGAAGAGGCTGAAATAGATTCAAATGTCTAATTATCTCTGCTGTGCTTTAATTCAGTCCAGCATGGAGGACAGTGAAGCAGAAACTAATCAAATCCACAGTCAGAGCTGAGCTCAAAAGTAGGGCAGGTAAGATAGAGGATGTCACAATACATGTTGTATACTCACTAAACTGAGCAACAGCGCATACTGGGTTTCTGAGAGATGCTTATATTACATGTTATCTCAAGTTAAACTTCCTCTATTTGTCTTTGTTAGATCATATATATGATATAAGTGCAGGTGCAAGATATATACATATGTCCCTAGTTGTATATTATGCTTATATTGATATTATATTTAAAAAAAGAACTGTTCTAAACTTTCAAACTCCCACATTCATTTTGTCACCTCTTCTCAGCGAGCGTGCTGTTGCTTCGTGCAGTGGGCTGTGATGTATTGATCTGTCAGAGACGCAATCATGGCTGCAGCAGAAACCACCCTGTCACCATATCACACAGCTTCTCCCTTCAAACAGGACTTCATTTATCTAATTTAACATCTCATCAAGCTGCGTGTAACACAGGAGGCTCTTTGTCAGAGTGTCTTCACTTTCGCTGCTACTTTTAAGGGAGTTCTTGGCTGCACAGTTAGTTTACAGTCGTGTACGAGTTCTTTAAGGGAAGCAGGGAGAGGCAGGTATGAGGGAATCTGATTCACTGCTCTCTGTTCTGCAGTGCAGCTGCTGAGGCAGCATTTAGTGGAGTGTGTAAGCTTCACACACACACACACTTTTGTCCATGCATCCTTTTTGCATTTCTTCCAAAAAAAAAGGGAGGACATTGCGTTTGTGTTTTACAGTCACTCGATTTGCCCTTCATATAAGCACCAAACTCTATTATTAGACAGCAGCACATTTTTGTCTTCATAAGAAGGAAATGAGAAGCTGTTCCCTGCTGTGTAAGTGAATTTATGCGGATATAAATGGGGAGAAAAGAGATGAGGTGGAGCAGCAGTCTGTCAAGTTTTATGCTAATCTTCTGATGAGTGTTGAGGGGACAAACAGAATTAAGTTTATTTCTGCTAATGCCCTGAGCCGTATGAAACTAGTTTTCTTCTGCTTTTTTCAATCTTTTTGATGAACCTAAAAAGAAAAGATCCTTTATTTCTGTTTTTTGTGGCAAAGCAACTTTTTTGAATAGTTATGTCTTCTCAAGTGAGAAAAAGGTTTATAATAAGCTCCTGCGAAAACAGAAAGCTGGAGATTAACGTTTGGTACCTAGTTGAACTTGACACCCAGCGCTGATAACTGCAAAGCTGTAAGCGAGGTTTGAACTTAAAAGTGCAGGTTGTGCTGTGTGTCTGTTAAAGCTGTGTAGCATGAGACTCCTCTCAGGAAATAGATCAATTGCAGACATCTTTTATTAAGACATATAGGGGAATAGAAGCGATGGAGCACCACTGGTTTCCTCAAATTTGCAGCATTGGAAAATCATACTCTAAATATCAGAGGTAGTGAACACAACAGCTGGGCTGCTTGTGAGCTCTGTGTTTTTACAGCAAGTTTTAAAAACAGGCACGTTAATATTTAATGAGCAGCCAGAATGTGATACATGCACTAAAAAAAAGGAATTTATGTTGCTAAATCCCTTTATAATGATCTCAGAAGCAAATGCAAGTCCCACATGGTAATGACATAATTTATCCACTCTTGGAAGCATGAACGTCTTGTTATCAACAAGTGCCACATGACTTACTGTGTGGAGGTCACTTGATTTGGAGCTAAAAGTAAATTTTATAAGCAGACAGTCGCATTGATCCTTATCTAAAACATTAAAAAGTGAAATGATTCCTAAGTAGAGTTGGAACAAACATTAGCCACCTGTCTGTCACACAGTGCAGCATGCTGTCATTGTGTCACAACCACACAGGTCCTCTCAAGGTGAAACGAGAAGGATCCTCGTTCTCATGTCACAAAGTGAAGTGCTGATGTATCTTTACCTGCTGTCGACTATAAGTGCAGGGATGACGATAAGTGTTTTGACAGCAGCAATTCAGCCGTCGGGAACATTTAGCAAAGACTGATGCTGATTAAAAATGAAAGGTATTACAGAATATAACATTGCTGCAGAATATAGATGATCTTGCTATGACTAAGTCGGTCAGGATCTGACATTAATCACAGTTTGTGGTTAAACGGAAGCAAAACACTTCACAAAATAAGCTGCCCCCAAAAGGCATAACATGACATTTCAATCTCACATTGGTTCTCTTTTTACTCACTAACACATGCAGAGACAGCGCTGTTATATAACAACATCATCCACATATTCTTCTGGTAAAGGGGAAATTGATTTAGTTGGTTCTCAAACAAAGTCTTCTTGAGGGCATTTAAGTCAAAGAGGTCAGTTTAGTGGTTCTGGAAGACAGTTAGTCGTGTCTTGGTTTAGTTCTAGAGGTTAGAGGTTAGGGCAACTAAGGAACCGATGAAAAGAATAGCATAGTTTTCATGGGAATGGCTGGATGTAAGCAGAACTGCTTTTTGAATTCAGAGGTTAATGGTGTCTTGTTTGCAGTTTTTCTCCTCTCCTATCTTCTTGATAAAGCCTGAATGTATTTTCCTGGCATGCTCAGTCAGTTTACATAGTCATGTCAGCAAATAACAAACCACTGGATGAAGTTTGTCCTGGTTTAAGGTTTGTTTTGCAATTGTAAAGAATTGATTGCCTCTGAAACTGGATCACATTATTATGTCCCTTAGATCTGTGAACATGATGTATTACATTGTTCTCAATGACTCCAAAGTGTTTTGCTGTTGTTATGACTAATTAAGCATTGAATTCACAATGATGCCCTTTGGACTAGCGAGAGCCTCTGAGATGTAATAACCTAATGAAGATTTTCTTTTACCAAAGAAGAGAAAGTAAGAGCTCTGTTCTTCCACAGGGTTTCTGCAAGTTCACAACAACAGTCCATTAAGGACTCTGAAAGAATCTTGTCCAATGTCATATGTCATACATGAAATAAAGACTTTATCAATTCATGACGAAGAATAAAAAAATTAAGTTTATTCTTTGTTAGGTTCTTTAAGAGCGTTCACCTGTTAAATATCTTTTTTGTCACGTCTCCAGCAATTGTTTACTGTTATCTTTGTGTTTAACAGGATAAGGAGCCTGGATGTGAAGATGATCTATCTTGGTTATTAGAGATGATGTTCAACAGTCTGATCACTGGCGTATTGGAACGACATGTAAAGATGAATTCCAGCCCCCTGCTGTGCGAGTAACACTCTTTGATGGCCGCACAGACTTTTTATGATGGCTGCCATGGATGATTGATTTTAAAACTGCTCCTGAGGGTGCTGTAATCTCAGAGCTTTTTTTTTTTTACAAAATGTGCGATCGAGGAGAGCCCTTGGGTGAGGGGGAGTTGCGAAAATAATAACCAGCAGGGGGGCGTGCTTGCTGATGGGGATGCCAACGCCAATGAAATCGGGACAGAAGATGGCGGGAGGACGGGGAACACTGGCACTCTGTCGGGGCTTATGACTGAAAAATCAGAGCAGGATAAAGTCATCATCTGGGGAACGGACTCGCAGTGTGATGACCCCGAGCTGGCTGAGTTTGAGATGCTGGAGGGTCAGGAGCTCGAGGCCTACCTGGTAAGAGACGGGGAGGACTTTGCGGGGCTGACAGAGCGGAAGGCGCTTCGTGAACAGTCTTCCTCCTGCGGCAAAGCCAGACCAGAACAACCAGCAGATAATATGAGCAGTGAGGAGAGGCAATCCGCTCTGCATGGTGCCAGTGAGCAGGACTCCAGTGTCTCGCATGTCTCTGAGAGCAGGGAGGCATCAAGGACGGAGTTAAGCTCAGAAACAGATGTCTTTGTGACCTGTCCCTCTACCTTTTCAAACATGGATACAGCTATGGACACTGCAGGCAGGACCCAAACAACAGACTCCTGGCACAATGCCTCTGGTCCTTACTCCGTCTCAGAAGACCTGACTCTGGTTTCCCAGACTTGCAGCATTGTCACAGAGAAAAGTAAGAGGGACCATCCTTCCCGCTATTCAGGAAAAAGCACAAAACACAGAAAAGATGTGGACATGAATTTGAATTCAACACTTCAATCAGAGGATTTGATATCACAGGCACAAGTTAGCTGTGGAAATTTGTGGGAGGACGTCCTTGAGGAGAGCAGGAGGAACAATAACCAGAGAAATAAAGCAGGGAATACCAATTCAGAGCAAGACTGTGATCAAAGGAGAAGTACTGAGCACAAGGGCTTACCCACTGCAACAAAATCACATGAGGAAAGCAACACTAAAATGGATAAAAGCACACAAGCTGATGAGACACCTGATGTGAACTTCAGCCCACCCAGAACAGGCACAAAGGAGACCCAGTCATCATCCATTGAATCCAAAGCCATGAAGAAACAAGGATCATTTGATTCCTCTTTAAAAAAACAAAACTCTTTTGACAGGAGTTTTAAAAAGCAGCCATCGTTTGAGAATTCCTTCAAGAAGCAGCTCTCCTTTGATAACTCTTTGAGGAAGCAGGGCTCTTTTGAGAACATGGTCACGTCCAGCTCTTCAAGTCTGGAGAGAAGGAAGCCGTGGGGAAGCCCCAGTCGACCAGCCACTCCTTCTTCTCCTAAAACTACCTCCTGTTCCCCAAAAAGACGACCGCCCGGTTCTCCAGCAAAGGTCCAGGGCATCAGGGCGCTGAGCTGTGAGCGCAGCGCCTCCCCTCAGAGAGGTTTCAGTCCAACAGTCAAACCGACGGTCAAAACAAGTTTGAGCAGCAGCATCCCCAAACCGGTCGCCTCTCAGCAGAAAGAACCTGAGCCCAAGAGGTGTTCCCCTCCCCAGAAGCCTAAAAATGTCCGACCGAAAATCATCACCTATGTCCGAAAAAACCCTCAAGCAAAACCAAACACTTCACTGGAGGCCTCATCACTAAGACTCTCTTCCTACCCCAGCCCGCCAGCTCAGAAAGATCTAAAAGCTGGTCCTCAGCCTAAATCCACACAGGTGCTTTGCTCCTCCAACCTGCTGTTTGATAAATATCGACAGGAGATGCAGAAGGCGGGACTCTGCCCTCCAGACATGGCTGTGACTGGAATGAAACCTCCAAGCAGCACCATCGCTCAGAGGCAGAGTGGAAAGTCGAGCAGTTTTCACGAGGATATGTCTGAGAAATATCTCCAGGAGGTGAGGAAGGAGCGTTAGATTTGAGCTAGTCACATAAAACAAAAGCAGGTTGTTGGTAGTTGATGCTTAAGAAGCAGGTTAACTTGCTGGTGACTGAGAATAACAACAATTGTAGGCTCCAGTTTAGCTCAGTGGTTGGAGCACAGCCATGTACTGAGGCTAGGTCCTTGTCACAGCACCACAGGCTCAACACTGACCCTTGGCTGTAAATAATGGGCCAAATAAAGTTGACTAATTTACTGTGAAATAAAGTTCTTCATCATGTCCCTTTATAAACAATCTGTAATATTACAAATTAGTGTTAGTGTTACAATATTTTTCTGTGATGATCATTGACTATCTATTGACTCATGTCCACCCCAACAGCATGTTGTCCAAGAGGGAAGCAGTGTGTACCGCTCCCCAAGAGCTCTGAGGCCTCAACTGGGGTTAGGGGCCGTCACCAGGCAGCCTGCAGCCAAGACAAGAAGCCAGCAGACAGGTCAAAGGTCAGCAGCGGCTCCAAGCCATTCTGCTCAGACAGCCGGGGCGTCCACCCAGGGCCACCAGGACCATGCAGGTGAGATAGTAAACTGGAATGAACTCAATGTCAGTGAGATTTCATCGTTATATTTCACTGAGAATGCACATGAAGTGTCAACAAAAGTTATCCATGACTTGTTATCAGCGATTATAAAGAGTATACGACAGGTTTTTCATGATATTCACTCTTTTTTTTGTTTGATCCAAATAACTGAAACAGTTTATGTGATCTTTTCAATGCAACCCCAGATTTGTTGTTATCGAGCTGCAGTGAATTTATATTCTCGCAGAGTGATGTGTTTTTTTTCCTGCTTAACATGCGTATGGATGAGGCTCGACTTTTGGCACCTAATCTCTTTGAAGTGCAAATCATTTGACAAAAATGTAACTCGCGCATCCAAGAAATGTTCGCTGCATATTTCTACCTGCTCATATTCAAATTGAGTCAGGCTCAACATATGGTGTTGTGGTGTAAATGGAGATTTCCTCACTCAGTGAAGGTTGTCATATGTTTGTCATTGTGATACCAGCATGAGATTAGTGACAGCATGAATCCTTCTTTTACTCATCAGAGCAGATGTGATTTGTTTAATTATTAATACAATTCCTTCTTCATAGCCCCTCCTAATAAATCTTGTGCCACCTTTTATATCAATGTAAATACACATTTTGGATTTTCCTCATAATAATTAGCATGATATGATCATTCACCCTGCAGCTATGAATAACATCACGGGCATAGGAAGTAAGAAAACTGTTCCCACCTTCATGGGAACGAAGAATGTAATGTAATTTCTCATTCATGTTTTCTTTGTTTTGTTCCAAGCTGGGGAGAAGGTTTGTTTTTCTTTCATTTAGTTAATTATCTTTAGACAATTAAGAAAAAAGAAGGAAAAAAAAAACAGTGAGATTGTGAATAAAACTAAGTAACAAAACCAAGTGTATCTCAAAAGGTTTGAGAGTCACCTGCAGCTTCTGTTTCAGTTCATATTCTTTGATTCGTTTACAGCAGAGCAAAAGAGGTCAGCAGAAAGGGGGCCAGAGACCACCACCAAGAGCATCCTGCTCAAAGCAGGTCAGTCTGGTCTCCGTGCCCCGGGTTTCTCCACCCTGCCAGCTGCCCGTCTGGCCACCTTTGGCTTCACCCGGACTTCCAGTGTCTCGTCTGTGTCCAGTAACCAGTCAAACAACAGCAGTCACAGTGATCCCAGCAGACCTGCTCAGCGTGAGTCTTCCTGTCTGCACACACTCATAGATTAAGATCATAGATTGTTACTACTTCACCTGACATAACAGCGGCTCCATAAAAGAGAAGTATTTCAGACATCAGACATACAGTGCTCTGTTTTACTACGTCTCCTCATTACTGTAGCTCTACTGTAGTTGTGGCTGCCTCTGTAACCATAGTAACAACCACTCATTTCCTTACATTTTTCACTCGCGCTAAAAAACTGCAGCACTACAGCAGCTTTGATGAAGAAATCTCTAAGTCTCTCCTCTCTCTGCTGCTGCTATCTCTGTGTGGAATAGAGACATGAGTCATGAGTCAGAACAAGCTGGGACGTTGTCATTGATACAGCAGATTCAGTTTTTCAAAATGCTGACTCAAACCAACCATTGTCTGAAAAATGATAAGACATGATGTAAAAGGAATCCTTCTTCTTCCTCCCCTTTTGGATTGAAATCAACCCCTATATCCTCTTTGACTGATTCAGAAAGATTACACCTTAAACAGCTTTACTTTGAACTGGGACCAGATTTCCAAATAATTTCATTGCAAAAATAAGTTTACATTCTGTAGGATTTGACTGTATGTGCAGAAGAGGAAATGTCTGTCTCTGTTGTGATTAGCAAGAATGATGATGATGAGTTAATGAATTCATCGCTCAAGTGTTCCCACATTTGCTCCAGTCGAAGAAAGCTGACTGCTCATTTTCTCTCCTCTCCATCTTATCTGCTTCTTTCTGACCGGCTGGATTCAAACGCCTTCTTTAGCTGCTGGCAGAAAAACAGCTGTTGTCTAATGCCCCCCCCCCCCCCAAAACCACCATAACTACTTCACATGTCAACAGCAGTCTCTGCCTCTCTATTTATAATCTCTGAAATGAAAAAGTGGAGTCGACGGCTGCACTGTGTGGTACAGAGAGACTCAGGGTGTGGTATGACAGGATAACCTGTGAAGTAGTTGTTTTTTTTTACGCTGACACCTCTGACCAGCCTCTTCCTCGCCTGTGGGTCTCCTCCTCAAACTTTCACTACAGTCTAGCCAGATAATGATTTCCCTCACTGCTTCAGCTCCCCTCCTTTAAGCCTTCAGATGTACACTTTACTGTGTTATTTCGTGCCATTTCGATGTTTCTCTTTGTTAGCTGCTCTGTAGAGCTGTTGTTTAAATTGTTGTATTTATTTCAAACAGGAAAGAATGTAATTATATTGATGTGGTATTGAATAATGAGTGTCTACCAGCAAGTAAAAAGCTTTGGAGCAGCCCAGGCAGCGTATATACTGTGTGACTGGCAGCTTGCACAGCAGTGTTTTCCTTCAGGCTGTTGGCTCAGACAGAGATGTTCTATTAGTATGCCACCGTATGCCTCAACTGCAGCCACATCCATCGAGGATGCACTTCAGAAGTCTGCAGATTTCCTCTGGATTCGATCACAGTAAAATGAGCCTCCTCTGGATTTTCAGACACGTTTTAGACATGGTGCAGCTGCTAAATATTACTATATACATTTTAATCCAAATATATGTTGTGCATAACCAGTTCCAACTTCCCAGCAGATGAACCAGCACAAATCTCTGAGGCATGTAGTGAATGTAAAGCCTCTTTTCCTCTGGATGAATCTCGTCCCTTTTTGTATTTTCTTATCCTAATAAGGAGTTTTTTTTTTTTTTTAATTGTGTGTTAATGTGAGGTAACTGTGTAGACAAATTTAAATTCTTTTGACTGGTTTCCCGCTTTTTTCTAAAACCTTAAAACTTGCTTCATATTAAGGTGTTCTACTGCAGTCCTATTTAATATCATATGTTGACTTCTGTACATTTCAGTTGGGTAATCACAAAAAAATGATTAAGATATCAGTCTGAATGCATGTCTTTTTCGATATATGTGCATCCTGCAGACCAGATTGTTTGGATTTAAATAAAGATGGAGTATTAGGACACATGAGATATGAGACAACAATAAGCTATATAAAATAGTCCAAACACATGTATCTACAATAGTCCTAACCTGTGTGTCCTGTGCATTAGTCACCAGCAGAGAAGAGCTGTTTCCTCTTGTAGCTCTGATCACAGGAAGCTTACAGCAGAGGAGGGATTTGTTCTGTACATGCAGGCGAGAAACAAGCGTTTAGCAGAGTGAGTCAGGCTCCCCTCTCAGCCAATCGGCTTCTTCAGCCTCTTTTTGAGAGAGAAAAAGAGCTTCAGTCGACTCTCCCAGGTGAATTCAATCTCTGTCGCAGTGAGGAGAGTCTCTGTGATCTCAGCGGAGGTTTCACAGCAACCCTGGGCGTTCTGACGTCAGGATATTTTAATTGTCTCTTTTCCAATCTGAATTTGTGTTGCTATGGTCGCTAATGTGGTAGACTGTTCTGCAGTATGGTTGTTTTTTAATCCCTGACTTTTGGTTCCTTGAATCATCCTCTGACTTACTCTTTCTCTGATCAGAATATTGATGTTTTTATTCAAGGTCACAAACCTGTCCCTCTGCACTCTGACAGGGTGCTGAGTGTCTTTAAGGTGCTGCATGTGTCAGCACTGGTATTGATTGATGAGCTGAATATTTCATGATAAGTAATGTGAGCGCCTTCACTTACAGTGACAGATTAAACCAAATGCAGAAAAGTCTGTAGAGTGATGGAATCTAGAAAGGGCTCAAAGTTCCTCCTGGAGAAATCTTAATAAACAATATTGTGGGTTAACATGAAACGAGTGAAGATCTCCCTGCTCTTTGTTCTTTGTGATTTCTACAGCCTCAGTTTGTCTATGAATCAAAGCCTTTCATTTCCACAGAAAGCTAGCGGCATTATAACAGCTGTTATGAATAATTAAGATGTTTGCAGCGTTCTGTTTCTTTTTCCTGTCCTTGTGAATATTTACAGTTTTAAATAACTACTCTCAAGGGGAAAATGGTGATCTGCACATTTGATTATTTTTTATTATAAAGAATATTAAAAGAAAGAAAAACTACATCGACTTGAATTCAAACTATACACTACGATTCCACAAGGTTTGATTTATACCCTAAATTTTAATAAACAACCTTAAGCTCTGGTCAATAAAAAATAAGACAGAAAGTGAACTAAATGAAACATACACAAAAAGCAAAATGCACCACACCAAGAGACGTATGTATTTTAGTGGTCAAGTATATTCCAGTACAGTCAGTTTCAATACACAGATTGTGGATGAAGATGAAGGACCGTGCTGACTAGATCATTTTTCTGCCAGAAGGCCAGAGATAAATCACTACAGTCTATGCTAACACAAGCAGTAAAAACTCTAAAAACCTGCTGTTGCTGCTGCCAATACAGTGAGTTTTGAAAGTGTAAGAAAAAGCAAATGCAGTACTGTGAGTAAATGTTCAAATTGCACAGAGAGGTCCAAGATACCTTCAAACCAGCGACTGTCTTACTTGTGAAACAGCTTCACCCCTGAACCACTGTGTAAGTCAAACCCTGCCATGAGGTGGCCTTAAGGTTTTGTGTAGTTTAAATTAGAAAGTGTCTAGATGCCTAGCTAGGCTGAACATGTCTGACAGTGTTTGTTTAATATTTTAGCACTATGGACAAAGTTCTACCCTGAACTTACACCAAATGGTTACTTTAAACTAACAAAAAGATATATGACTGACTTTTTTTTTGGCTTCTCTACTTCTCCTCAGATCCCGGCTGTGGAAGCGATGACACACCTCTCCACAAAGCCACAGCGCCCCCCACTGACACGCCCCTTGCTCAGAGCCGTTTGCAGCCTCCCAACGCCCCGAGTCTGCAGCGTCGCAGTTTGCCGCCCCAGCGCTGCTCCCCGCTCGGTACGTCCAATTGCAACACCCTGCCTGCAGTTCATACAGTACATGTAATGTGCATGTGGAGGTCCAGAGACCAGTTTAAAGAGTTTAGATGTATGAGCATGTGCTAAAAGGGGAGGTGAAATGTACTCCACATGGAAATCAAACATGAGATTTAAAGAGCCTCATGTTAGTACTTCCCTGCCCTGAAAGGACAGTTTCATCCTCTGCTTGTAATTCATAGGAATGACTTCTTTAATGTGTATTTTTCTATGTTGCTTACTACAGGAGGAGTGACTGGGGAGATTTTTTGTGTGCAATGCTCATCAAAAGCTCACCTTTCTCTCCTGGGTGTAACATATTTTTTTTTTCCAAAATGAGAAAAAAAACACTAACTGTACGGTATAAGGAAAATTGTACTTTAAACGAAACACAAATAACATCCTGAACACAGCTTCTTCTTTCTGAATCTAACTGTTGCTTAGCATTGCATCACAGCAGTGCTACAGATCAATATGTGTGCTCCTCTCTGCTCATGTAGTGTCTTTGTTGTTAGTTTGTACACCTCTGAGCCTGCGACGGCTTCTCTGCAGTGAATGTGGAGCATGAACACCATCCAGTGGTCACACAGTGAATCTGCAGGAGAAGGTGAAGCAGCAGCTCCAGCTAGTGGCAGCTGCATCTTACTAACAGACTTTTTAGTTGGGGGTAAACAGTTACCTGAATGGAATTAAACAAGTGAGGTTTAAGAACTTGAATTGATAGTATGATTCTTTCAACTTACATTTACACTATGAGGAGTGATTTCTTGTATTTCAAATGTGCCTGTATGTTTTGAAACATTTCTCTTTACTTTTCAGCCTCTAGGAAAGAGATGAAGAAAGAGGTTGAAGCTGTACTGCCACCGAAGTCCCCTCCGAAAAGATTTGCAGTGGTTTCTCCTAAACCACAGTCCCCTGGTGAGTCTTAGAGATCGTACTGCAGCCTGTGTGTGCATTAGAACCCAAAACTGTGTCAACCACAGTATACATCTAAACTTTCCATTCCTAAAAATGATATGGAAATTAAATTCAAGGAGATGGGTTTGTAGTAACGTGTGTGTTTAGTGCAGTAAAAGAAAAGGCTCAATGGTGCAACATCTCCAACCTCTACTGTAGCTTTAAATGTTGCAGACGTTCCATCCGCCTCTCCCCCTCACCACTTTATTACAAGACCCATGACAGCCTGCTGTTGCCATAGCAACAAGCAACAGTAGCTGTAATGCTAGGATGTGCTCCTTTGGTAGAAATCCTGCAGGGTCAGATTACGAGAACAAGTCAGCAGTTTGTCCTTCTCTCAGTGAGCAGACAGACAGAACAGCAGATACAGATCCAGTACAGCTAACATGAAACTCTCATATTCACAGTGTGAGTGTGAGCGGGGAGAGAGGAAAAGAATGCTATTGGTTTAAACAGTGAGAAGACTTGAGAAACATTGAGTGAGATAGACTCTTTGTTCTTGTGGGACGACATAACCACTGATGTTCCAATCAATCAATCAATCAATCAATCAATCAATCAATCAATCAATCAAGCAATGCTTAATGTGTTAACCGGAGTGTTTAAAACTGAAAGACCATCAGTGTTTATATCATCTGCAGTAGATTTTTTTCTTTGACGAAGCCGCTTGTTATTTAATTTTTGATTAATTGATTTCTGGAAAATTTGACAGAATCAAAGTAATTCAAAATATGAATGCAATAATTATTGCACCTTAAGTAAGTTGTCTCTTTGCTTTTAGTCCCAAACAGTTTACAGTGATATAAGATAGACTAAAGAATCTAAAACCAGCTAATACTTGACTTTTCTTCGATCAGTAACTTGCGTGGTCATTAATGATGCAACATTTGTCTTGTTATGTTTGTTTTTTGTTCTTCTAGTTCTCTAATTATTTAAACCAGTCCAAACAAGATTTTGCTGAAACACATATTTCAGAGATTACAGAATACATACTCTATGACCCTACTTTGAAATATAAGATTTACTTTTTACCCAAATTTAAACTAAAATAATAAAAAATGTGTTATGACTGCCTACAGTTCGTGGGCGGACAGCAGGCGCCGGTGGCGCTGTTCAGACTGAAAGGAACCAGGAGTTGGACCGCGCTCTGATCCAGCAGCTGCGTCGACGCTGTGAGCAGCAGGAGCTGCAGCTGCAGAGCCTACAGGCCCAGTTAAAGAAGGCATCCCTATGCATGGATGTGTTCAGCATCACGACCCAGCACTTCTGTCTCAAGGTAGGATGCCTCATAGCTCTGGAACATCACTAAGACTTTTAGATAGTAAAGCAAGAAATCCAACTTGTGTCAGCTCATGTTTAAAGACAGGGCTGCAGCAAGGCAGGTGTGAAATCCCCTCTTTCTCCTATTTTCTTGAGGTCATCTTAAGGAAGCTTTGCTTTGGAAGCATTACATTTAAGTTAACTTAACAGAATTTAAGCCTAGAAGGGTCCTGTTGTTTTTTATTATCTGACATGTTAGCTCACAGATGTCATGAATTTCATCTTTTCTTTTCTAAACATTTGGATGTTCAGCAGGAATGAATTTTCCAGCCTTTGCGTGCCTCTGCTTTATATTGTTTCAATACCATAACTTCATAAACAGAACTTTAACATGATGGATTGATCGCCCATCCAAAGCAATTCTCCAATATCTGCCACTTTGTTTTTCATGTTACGCTTTGTAACATGAAAAACAAAGCGGCCATTTACTGGCATACACTCGTAAAAAAGAATGTCGATCCTGTAATTGATAATTCAAACCAATAGCTTGCAACAAGGATTATTTACAATCATTCACTTTGCAGCCATCTCTCAGGACAGTAAACACAGCTCTGCTGTTAAAAACTACTAAGGGAAAGCTGTTGCAGACTTCTGAGTGAAACTACAAAGTGTGATTTGTCTGCTAACACAAAGGACACCTGCAGCATCTGCCTTTTGTTGTTAGTGTTCAGGAAGAACTGGCACTTGCTTTAAAATCTGATTGTTGTGGCTTTTTGAATAAGTTGTGAATCGCTCTGAAGCAGCGGGACGTGTCTGTGAAACAGTCTGTGGGGAGATCCTGCGGATTCCTGAAGGGTTTCCTTTTTGGATGTGTATGAAAATGCATTCGATTTCACTGTGTGGCACGTAATGCTGGGTCTGCCCTACAACTGATGAACGCTTGACTCAGTGGGATTTAAACCTTTTGAGTGTTTATTTCAAATAGCTGGTTGATGCATCTCATTAATTCATTGTTGTTGTGTAAGATAGTCATTTATTGAAGTCTCAAACGCAGCATCATGCAGCCTCTGGTGGCCCAGACAGTTTACCTGCACACTGTAACTGATATTTCTGCTTCTAAAACCTGAATGAAGCGCTTTGTTTGTTGTCCTTTCCTGGTCCTCTGCTTCATTTCATCCATTTCCCGGCCCCACCCACACGGGTCCTGCTCTACAGTGGGAGGAGATTAATAAGATTAGAGCTGGACCTCGCTGTGCTATTATAGAGGCTGGTTGTCAGACACCAACAGAACTAAAAGTCGGACAGGAGGAGGACTTTAAAATATATCAGTCTTATATATATTGACAAACAAGAGGGGATATGACTCCCCTTTAAAGATGTTCCTTTTGAATACATATATATTATGTACAAAAGGCAATGTGGGTTCAGTTCAACATCTAAACCACAGGTGGACATGATAGCCAGCCTCAAACACTTTACCCCATATAAGCTACTATCCATTTAAGTCCAATACAGCCGGGTTTAACTGGCTATGATGTTGTAGTTTTGGGTCGATATGCTGTGATGGGTGGAGCTATAGGCTTCAATCTCTTCTCCATGGACCTCCTCCTGACATTGTGATTTATTACTACTCCTCTATTCAGTTCTGCTTATATATGTCTGGATTTACAGATGCATTCAAGCAGTGACAACATATGCTGATGAGCCTTTTTGAAGGTATTGGTGCTTGAACAGGAATGATTGAAGAATTTAAAAAAAGACTAATTGACTTATGCATGAACATGACCAAGTTTAAGCTGTGTATTAACAAGGAAAAGACTTTTCACTCAAAGCTGCAGTCTGGACATCATACCTTGAGTTGTGTAGTCAAATCTCTATATGAAGCTATTTCCTCTGAGCATAGTAACAGAGAAGATAATTGGCCACTTATTGATCATCTCCCTCCCCCAATCTTCTCCGCCTCCACTCCTTTTTTCTAAAAGATGCAAGAGGCATCACATGTGTGTGTGCGTGTGTGTGTGTGTGTGTGTGTGTTGCTCCCTGCCATGCGTGTGAATGTTATATGAGTGTGCTGGCGGGGCTCTAAGGGGAGGGCAGACGGAGCTGGGCTGGGGCTGCCAGTCTTTGTTCCAGCAGGAGGAATGCCGGTCGCAAACCAGGAAACGAGGTGAGGCTTCAGTCGATTCATCTCTCCTCCCCTCTCCTTCCTCCGCCTGGTTCCCTCCCTCTCTCTCTCTTCTCTCATCCGTCATCCGTGCTGCCAGGGATGCTGTTGTGTACTCGCCCGGTATGGGCCATTGCTGCTGTCGGCTCCATTTCTCTCCTCTGCGCTGTCTGGACCAAACGGTAAAGACAGCATCTTCTGCAGGCAGCAGGTTTGCTTCAGCACAGAGGATTTCTTGATGTGGTTGTGCGCATGTGTGTTTAGAGAGGGGGGAGGCTGTGGGGTGTGAGTGTATCAGTCTATAGCAGCATAATATTCACTTGTTTCCTGGAGACAGAGCTGGTGGAGAGAGTGAAAAACTGCAGGATTATGCTGAGTCAAAGTGAGCTGTGTGTCGCACTGTCCCTCTTTCTTTTCTCTTAGATTTTATTTGTTACATAACATACTAATGCTTTGCTAAGGTTTCTGTGTTACTGTACACATTGTGCCTTACTTGTACGTATGTTACTGTACATCCCGGAGATTTCATGCCACCGACTGTATAGGACAACTCTGAATTAAGACTCATGATTCCTCCTTAGGCTGAGATTTCTCATCCACCTTAATCATGTCATTACTTTGCTTATGAAATTCATGCTGTAGTTGCTGCTTTATTTATGTCGAGTGGAGTATGAATCTCTTCTGAACAAAAAGTCTGCTGCACATTGCTGATGTGGGTTACAGTCCTACTAAAACAGGATTGTTTACACGGGTGCAGACTCTGTAGAGGTTCATAAGATCATAACAGGAACTCTTCCAGATCAAGGAGCCTTGATATAATAAGCACATTTTTGGAGGCAAACTGTACAGCGCTAAAATGATTAGTTAATTGACAGAAATAGATGGGCATCAATCTTTAGATAATTTTATGAAAATCTCATAAGTGATGGACAAACCTGGATTCTGATTGATTGTAAACAGTTTTTTAAACAGTTTTCTGATGTTACAAACAAAACAAGGTTTCCAGAAATAATCCAAAGTATAATCAATAATGCAATCAATCAGTTGCAGCTTTAAATGGGGATCATGTTGCCTTGGTGAAGCTTGAATACAGACAGATAAATTAGAATGCGTGTCACATAGCTCCCTGGAGATCTAAGCAGTGGGGGGGGAGGCGTTAGGGCAGGACAGAGGAAATGATGGGTCGGAGCAGAGGTGGAGCTGCAGTGTATGAAATGAAAAAAAAAGCAGCTGACCATCCTTCATCACTCATGATGTCACAGCAGTGTCTCCCTGATGACTTTATGTGTGCAGACCTTTTAGAGGGTGACATCATTTCTGCTGAGGCTTCCCGAGTCTCATACATATTTCATCCTCTGCTCCCTGCCTCTCTCTCTCTCTCTCTCTCTCTTTGTTTCTCTGCTGTCTGATCTCTGATTTATCTCATCTGGAGCTGTTTCACCGTGTGTTTAGGGATGTGATCAATAGTCAGGAGGAGTCCCTAGTGGATAATGCCAAATCAAATCATTTTTGGATTTGAACGTATCCACAAACGGTGTACTACTGTTAACTCTTGTGCTCCATGGTGAAGTATAAAAAAAATAACACTGAGGTCAAACTGTAATGTTGCAGAGAAAGAAGTTCATGTTTATGTCTGTAATGAACCAAACCGAGACACGCTTTGTTGTTGCCCTTCCTTTGACATTTAGTGATCTGTGAGCAAGAAGCTGCACGTCTAATATTATGACAAACACAATAATCAGTGCAGTAGACTGTTGTGCTTAATTACCAGTCCAGTGTATTGTATTATGTCAACACACACAGGGGTTTAATTGTTATGTTTCATCAGTAATTCATGGCCTCAGCCACTCTTATGTCAGGGCATCTTGGAAAACCAACAACATAGGAAAGAGTTTTTTTTTAAAAAGACACTGCAGATATGTGATTTTGTAGAGTTTCAAAATGGTTTGTGATTATTGCTAACCACATTATCTGATAGGTTGAATCATGATAATACTTTGCTGATACAAGACAGAAACAAGCGATAAGTAGGGTAACACTTTTGCTAAATGCAATATTGTGAATCTCTAATCCTTGAATGCACATGTACATGCTTACATTTAAGGTTGATTGACGATCATTCCTCTTCATGTTTCTCTGGTTTATACAACTGCACTGTGTAATTGAATACAATCTCTAGCATAAGCATAAAAAAAACTAAAAGAGTGCAGTGCTGTTATATCAGACTGTATGACTTTAGCTTGTTGTACCTCATACACTGATATGAATGAAAATCCTACAATTCATTTACAATTCATTTATCAGACACTTTTATCCAAAGCGACGCACATCATCAGAGAGTAAGTACAACACAAGCAAAGATCTAGAGAGGAGGAAACAAAATCAGTAAGTGCAAATGAACAGCTTGAAGTCCGATTGGACACACAGGTGCTGACAGGTTCTGCACAGAGGCAAAGCACAACATTGACAGCTGTTCTTGAGTTGTAATCAGTATTCATGAAAGAGCAGGGTCTTTAGCTTTTTCTTCAAGGTGTAAAGGGACTCTGCAGATCGAATGGAGTTTGGTAGTTTGTTTCACCACCGGGGGGCGACAGAGGAGAAGAGTCTAGTTAGAGACTTCAGGGTCTTGTTGTGAAGGTTGGATCAGGCGCCTTTCATTGGCAGAGCGTAAAAGGGCGGGAGGGAGTGTAGACCTGGATGAGAGAGTTCCTGTCCTCAGAATGTGGAATTTGTTTGACGCTGTCACATCACTTTTCCCTCAGAGTTTTACAGTGGTACAGCGGGTGTTTCAGATATCGTTGTACAGGCCATAGGTGTTCACTGCTGTCTATGTTTGCATTTCAGAGTGAGAGTGCCTTTGTGAAGGAGAGGGAACTGTCCCTGGAGCTCGCCAGAATCAGGGATGAAGTGGGTAAGTGGGATACAGCGTGACAGATATGGCACCACAGGGAGCAGAGAAAGCAGTGAGTCATACACTGCTTACTGTACATCATGTTTTATACATTGCAGAGGGGTGGAGAAGATTTGGCCCTGGGAATCCACTCTGCTGATCGAAATATTCCTCACACTGTAGAAATGCTTAAAAAATAATGATGGGGTTAATTGTGTTGATTAAAAAACACATTTCAACATCCGGCGAAAATACATATAATGAATTATTAAAAGAAGATATTAGACCAACTGAATACGTTGTGGTTAAATGCTTTTTATCTGGAACATTGCTTTTTAGGAATGTATTTGATCACCTTTATTTTATCTATGAAACTAAGGAATGAAACGGACCTAAACTCTATGTTGTGTTGCAGCTTTCAGTGTGGCACACTGGGAGAAACTGCAGCAGGAGAAGGAGGAACAGGAGCGTCGTTTCGAGACGGAGCTGCGGGGACTGCGGGCGAAGCAGCAAAGGGAGCTGGGAGCGCTGGAGGAGCGGCTGAAGGCGCAGCACACGGCCAAGGCGAAGAGCCTGCAGGCCGAGCTAAGAGGAGAGCTGGAGGAGCTGCAATTCAAACAGCAGGAGCAGGTGTGTGTTTGTGTGTGTGTGTGTGTGTGTGTGTGTGTGTGTGAGACGACTCCTAAGGCCCTAGTGTTATCTGAACTTCTATGCAGACACCTGTTAAAATGTATTTTAAAAAATGACAAATTTTCATCCAATCACAGATAATTGGTTCCAGGAATTCATGTCAGACATTGCATGTAGCCTCTTTCACTTTCCATATGACCTTTTTACCCACATACAGCCGAAGCAGGCTAAGATGTGATTGGACATCAGTGCTTTGACCTCTGACTCCAAAATCTCGTCCCTGTGCTGCAAAGGTTGCAATCATATGCTGATATCTGTATAGACTAGTACACCTTTAGTGTGTGTGCATGCACTAATCTGTCTTTATGTTTGTAAGAAAGTAAGTGTTTGAAGTTTTTTTTGACTTCGTATCGTTTAAATCTTGGCCTCAGATTGAGGAGATGAGTGAAAACCATGAGGCTTCATTGATGGAGATGGAGACGGCTCACAATGACACACTGGCCACACTGCAGGAGGAGCACGCCAGGACTGTGAAGAGTAAGCAAACTATTTCAACCATCGGCTGTACAACTGAATTGCTGCAGGCAGGTGTAGACAGCTAATAATCAGTTATTTTATGATGTCAGATCTGAAGATGGCCCATGAACAGCAGACAAAGTCTCTGGAAGAAGAGTTTGCAAAGATCAGACTGTCACTGCAGGTAAAAAGATTTATTTTACACAAATATGTTAAGATACTATTTGTTGTGAGTATAATTCTAACATAAAGTATAACTGACATGTTAATATCCTCGTTTACACCAGGATCAGGTGGACACGCTGACGTTTCAGAACCGAAGCCTCAGAGATCGAGCAAAGCGATTTGAAGAAGCTCTGCGCAGGAGCACAGATGAGCAGATAGTGGTAACTACAGGACAGAAGCTATATAAAGTCTGTTTATTGGGTTTAAATGACTGATGGAGCTTTTTTACTAATGCAATCTGCTGTTGCCAGGATGCTTTGGCCCCATATAAACACATCGAGGAGGACCTGAAGAGTCTGAAGGAAGTTCTGGAAATGAAGAACCAACAAATTCATCAACAGGAGCTGAAAATCACGGAGCTGGAGAAAATAGTAGGCTTCAAATTTCTGCTTTTGTTAAGCAGCAAAAGAAAACAGCTTTTTTTTGTTTGAGCTGACTGAATGTGAGGTCTTCAAAATAATAGACAAAAAAAAAGAAATGGTAATCATAAGCAGCATCTAAGCAGCGTCAAATGACACAAAGGGAGTTATGCAGCCCTTTTTATTTGAAAGAAGTTTGTCTCCCATGTAAACCTTCAGTATTTAACACATTTGTATTTCAAATGTTATTGAAGAATTTAATGTTGTGCACCGCTTCTGTTTTTGAGCAGGCTGAAAAGAACGTGTTCCTGGAGGAGAGAGTGCAGGTTTTGCAGCAGCAGAATGAGGACCTGAAGGAAAGAATAGACAAGAACCTCGCTGTGTCCAGGTCAGTTCACTTAAAATGCATTTTGGTGAAGATGTGGAACATAGTGCAAACATAGTTGCAAAAGGTAAAATATTTTCTTCTGCTGCAAAAGTGTATGGGCATATATATGTTTTTTTTAAATGTAACGTGTCCTTTTAGGCATCTTTCTGAGGAAAATGCCAACCTGCAGGTGAACGTGGAGAAAGAGAGCAACGAAAAGAAGCGTCTGAGTCGCACCAACGAGGAACTGCTGTGGCGTCTTCAGACAGGCGAGCTGAGCCCTCACATGTCCCCCAGCTCCTCCCCCCTCCATCGACCCCTCTCTGGACCAGGCTCCCCTGCCCGCCCTCACTCCTACCATCAATGACCCTCTGAATGGAAGCTCTTGTATCAAACTATTTATTTTATCTGGCATTTTATAACTCTTTGAATGTTCCTCTCGAAGCCAGGGATGGATTTTACACAATGGAGGTGGACAGACACACATCAGCTTGTTTTGTGGGGGAATGCTGCTTGTATGTGTGATGCATTTCCAAAGTAATACCCTGGGATTTTTAACGTCTGACTTGAAGAATTGTATTTACGATCAAAAAGGGAATTCTCTGTACTCTTTTAATTCTCCCTCTACAACCCCACAAACAGACGTGCTGTGATGCAGCGGCAAATGAAAGATCCGGTCATAATACATCAGAGAGCAGGATCAGAGATACTGTGCCTCATTCCCATGTTTTTCCATCTACGTCTACACTTCCACCTTCTCATCCAGCGATCAGGATGATGGATGTACAAGAGAAACATAACATGAAAAGTGCAACCACCAACTCAAGAAGCGCCTTTTCTTTCCAGTTTTTTTTCCACCAGCAACTTCGATCAAGGCACAGGCAACACAGGTCTACCTACAGTAAGTTACCGTCAAAGTGTGGCCTCTTCTCTGGGGTTAGTTTGACCTTTTGATGCTGAAATCTCTCATATATCAGGAGTGTTTGAACAACTACCAATGATTGAACCTCAAACACCCATCCTACATCCTACACTTGAACCACTGAATATCAGTGCTGACCTGAAATGTAAGATCAACATCATACATCCATTGAACTGCCAACAGAATGTTACTTTATTATTGATAATAATTGATTCATACTGTACATGAATTGCTCTCTTTAAAGCATGTTCTGTCTTCCAGTTCTAATGAATATTATGTAAGGATTACTTTAGGTGTAGTTTCCTCTGATTTCTTATCAAATAGAGAAATTTAAACAAGTAATCAATCATTATATTTCCAATTTTAGACAAATCTCACAGTTTCTGGGTGAGATGGCGCCCCCTACCTTCAGTCAGTTTAAATCGCTAAAGTAAAAGAAAAAAGTGCAGGATCTGTAAGAAGCACCAAAGAGGAAATAAAACACAGCAGTTATCATGTACTGTAGCTGTTGTATATCTGCAGGTCATTGCAGAATCAGCCATAAGCGGTGCAAACATTGCAGTTCTTGTCAAAATGTAAGAAAATTCAACATCTGTTCATTATGAAGTAGGTGTCAAGTTTAACAATAGGTTCTCTTTCTTTGAGTGTACCTCATCGTTGCTCTTAAAGTTGACTTGGATTGTTGCTGTTTTCTTCATTGATGTTTGTTTTCTGTGTTTTGAACCTCACCACAAAAAGTGATTAGCTTAAGTGATTAAAAAAAAAAACAGAATGGCATACAGTCATTCACTCAGCATTTTTATCTCCCACAGACTTTTGGCTAAATTCTAAATCCAAATCAAAAGGTATCAAAAAAGAAACAAAAGTCCTGAAAATCAGCAAACTAATACCTCATGTCTCATTGTGGAGAATAATCTCAGGTGTTGAGGAGAAGCAACTGCCATAGCTTTTTAATTTGAATGAATTGTACATTTCATTTGTTTGCCTATGTTTACAGAACCTCTCAGCTCAAGTGTCACTTTTGCAAGATATCGTTTGTGAAAAATGATTTGGATGTACAGAATATGTGAAACCATTTGAAAGGGATCGGTGCAGTATACAAAGATAGATTGAAGAATAATTACTTGTTTATAGTAATATGATATAAAGATCAGCTCCACAAGACACACCAAATGTGGTAAACAGCTTCAACAGGGACGTGGTTGGAGATGATTTGCATTTTCTGTCAGGACAAGTTGATAGTGTTTGACTCTGTGGGCTCAACTTTAAGGAAAATGATTGGAAAAGATTTTTCTTTCCATCAGGTTCTCTGATTGCACTGATTGTCTCTGTGTCCCGTGGACATGGCCATGTGCTCATTAAGTGAATGTTTGTCAAACACGAGAAGAAGTGCTGTTTCTACAGTTTACATCCAATGTCGGAGAAGGATGTTGTTTCATGTGACGTCTGGACTTTTGTTCATTGTTTACAGGACTTCTCTTGTAAAGAGCCTCCTCAGTAGTTCAAGAGTTATGGATGAGTTTTTATGAACGCATGTCTTTATAATGTTGTACATTATTTGTGTTTACATTTCTTGTGCATTTGATTTATCTTTCTGTTCTCCTCAAGAACTGCACCTGTAGCTTAGCTGGTGAAAATTATGTGATCAGTGATGAGACACTAATGTCTAAACTGTCTATGTTGCACTTTGTATTCAAGTATTAAATCACAATAAGAAAATAAGTGCACAAAAGGGAGTTCTGGTTTCGATATATATTATAATATATGATTATTTTATTCTATCCTGTGTTATATTTATGAATATAACAATAATAGTAGAGCCTATCTCACTTTCTCTGCATAAAGTTTGAAATCACATCTATGGGCAGGGGGAAGATGATGGTGGAGTTCTTCTCGGCTGCGATGGCATTGAGGGTCTGCAGGTATCTTAACTGCAGAGCAGAAGGCGACTCAGCGATAACCAGAGAGGCTTCTTTCAGAGCCCGCGACGCATTCATCTCTCCTTCTGCCGCAATAATCTGAAATGCAGAGAGTCAGACGGTCAGTTTTCCGGCCTTCTTTGTGATAAGAGTGTCAGGGGAGTCTTCGGTCGCCACCTTCACCTTAGCTCTAGCCTCCCTGCTGGCCTCGGCCTCTGCTGCCATGGCTCTCTGCAGCTGCTGGGGCAACTTCACATCCTTTATCTCCACACGCTCCACCTTTATGCCCCACGGGTCTGTGGCTTCATCCAGAGATTCCTGCAGGGAAATATTAGAGAACAAATAAACAGCAATCACTTAAAGCCACAAATCAGTTTTGTCATAATAATATATCAACCACATGACTCTTGTTCCAGCTCATCACTCTTGTAATAGCTGTTTAAAAAGAAGCAGACAGCAGCTTTATGCAAACAATCTCTGACAGTAGGTAAAAAGAAGAACATGTTATTTTGGAGGTTTATCAGAGTGACACATTTGCTGACACATTTGTCAGTGTCAGCGCCTTTTGTAGTTTGTGTGCCCCCTAATGGCCAAAGAAACAACTGCAGCAGCTTAATAGAGAAAGGAAACCTCTGAGTTAAAGCTTAACTACTCCGGTTCTCAGAACCAACGAGGGGGAGTTTGTCTTTGTCATTTTTCAACAACAGTGTCCTGAGGTTTTATTGACCTCCTAATGACTTCACAAACAAATCATCCAACAGGTCATGGCATTAACTAATTGTTTAAAAAGCAAACATGGAGGCTGGTATGCTGGATTTGACTTTCAGAGACAAAGCAACCAAGGTAAGGTTTATTTAACGTCTATAAATGTTTAAAAAATCTGTTCAGCCATTTATTGAAACTCAATGTTACACTGTCCTCAAACCGTTTCTCCTCACCTGCATGCTGAGTGATATTCCCTCTCTGTCAGACAGCAACTCTGCCAGGTTTTTAGTGCCGAGCACATTCCTCAGGGTGGTTTGAGCCAGCAGACGTGTGGATGAGTGTGCGTTGGACACATTGGCCACGGAGGAGATGGGGCAATGTATACGAAAGTAAACCACACCATCCACACATACTGTCACTGAGTCTCTGGTCAGAATCTTCAAAGAAACAAAACTCTATTATTTTTACCACCAATAAAGTTTAATGACCAAGGCATTTTTTTGATACAGGAAAGACACAAATGAAAAAAACTTAAATTTGATGTTAATAGAAAATGTACCTCTTGTGGAGGGATGTCAAAGGACACAGTTCTCAAATCAACCTTCACAAAGTTATCAGTGCAGGGCAGAACAAAGAAAAGTCCTGGAAGGAAACAAAGACCCTGCTTTAATTTCTTACACCACCATAGTTCAAAAAGAGCTTTAACAATCCATCCAGACAATCATCTAGTCCACTGTGAAAGTTATAAAATAATATAGAACCAAATGAAACAAGTGTCACCCATTCACAGAGCATCGGAGTGAATCATCTAAAATGACATGATGGCTTTGTGAAAGCAGTTTGTAGTTTCTAAGTAGATAAAGTCTAACTGTATCACTGTTTACAACCAACTTTAGAATCCCCCACTAAAGCATGTAATCATTGGCATTATAATGACAAACCTGGGCCTTTAGGTTTCCTGTCTGTTATCCGTCCGAGTCTGAAAATGACGGCTCGCTCATACTCATTCACTATCTGGGTGTAAGAAACAGTCAGCCATACAGAGCAGACAAGGAAAGACAGTAACAAACAATCTGTTAAAATGTCTCATGTGTGACATAAGTCAGGCAAACAGTTAATGATGAAGTAATCACATAAAAGTCGTCACATGCAGTGCATGTTAATATAAAAATATATAGTCTATACTGGTTTATTATATACTCTACCTTAACACACATGAAGAGTGTGATGGGGAAGGTCACTCCTATAAAGAGGAGGGAAAAGATGACCAAAATCCAGCCGAAACATCCCAGCCTGCCTGAGTTTTTATCTGAAGAGAGAGAAATAAACGCTGTGTTGGAGTAGTGTGTTGTGTGCAGTGTTTGCATGTCAGCTCATGTGTCACCAGATTTAATTAATCTCTGAGGGAAGACACGCAACGTCAAAGGGAGTCAGGTAGGGTTGTGTAAAGCTACTGAACTCTTCGTATACATCTGCTATGAAATGCTGAAGCTGTAACTTTCAAGCCTTACTGTAGAATTTCACTTTCTATGGCTGCAGGTTTTCATTATCTTTAATGTGATGGCTGTTAAAAAAAAAAAAAGAAGCTGATCAGTCACTTAGTCTATAAAAAATCAATCAAAGAATCTGCTCAGCACTAGTTTGGTGCAGTTGCAGAAAGAAGCAGCAACATGCTGAGCTTTAGAGTGCTTCTAATGCTGTGGATAGAAAGTATAGCAGCAACTTGAGTTATGAGAACATCAAATCGACTGAAGAGACAGCACACAATGTGTACGAGTCTGTATAGCAGTCTGAGTTTCCGCTTGTCCTCGGTCTGAAAACAGTCCTAAAGCAACATTTTTTTTAAACAGACAAAGCATGTTCATTTGCAGCATCTCACTAAACAACACAAAATTAATAAACTTAGAAGTATTCTGCTCTCTTCATATGTCATAATGTTCAGTTAAAAACAAAAAGGGGTTGGGGGTGTGTGTGACAATACATCCAGCCTATCAGGATAATGGATCATGAATAATGCTGTAGTTTAAATAGATGTCTAAGAAGCGCCTGTGCCAGTTAAGACTGGTATGAACTACTCCCATGAATAAAATAATCAATTAATGAAAACAACGATATGATCAATATTTGTTAAATTGATTTTCCTTATTACATGCCTTATTTCTGTTTTCTGTTTCCTTCACCTTCCCCCCCTCAACACAATAAGCTGTACTGTTGTAACTTCAATAATTATTATTTAATGGTTTTAGATGTTCAATAATTCTGAACATTTAGGGAAACAAAAAATGTTTAAATGTGTGGTAGGTAGTGTTTTATAAAAGTACAGATCTAATACAATAACCTGGCTCTAAATTGTCTCTGTGGTAACAAAGAGATTCTTTGACTATCAGAGGCAATCCTACAGTTTCCAGTTCCCTAAAGAAACACACTTTGTACCTCCAAACAAAAGATTTTCTGTTTTAAAAGATCAACGTAAGTAATTACCTTCGACATTGTCCTCTGCGTTGATCTGAAATTTTCCTTGTGTAACCATGTCAGCCGTGCTGGATGTTGTTGAGATCATTAGTGAGTGTGTTGTCAGTGTGATGGAACAGAGTTGCTCTTGTTTACCTGTCTGTCGTCCCTGTGGGGGTGTGGCCTGTCCCCTTCCCTCATCACCTGCTGCTTTAATGATCCTGAGACACACACATACTCTCACTCCTCACCTAGTGGGTGCCCACAGGTAACATGAACTAAAGAGCTTAATCAGCCTCTATGTCACTTCTGCATTAGAAATCTTAAATTCCAGTTCTTGTGCTCTCCCATTATACTCTAACATGCACGTCCAGTAGTCTGACACCTGCTGAGTGCAGGTTATGAATAAACAATGGGAGGCAAACAGTCAGGAAACATGAGAGCTGTGCTAGCACAAGAACATGTAGTCATGAGTGTTTCTCTCCTTACTTTATAATGGAAGATTACCAACATTTTCATTGTTGAAAAATTAGGCAGGGGGTTTTCAATGTATTAGATTTTTTGTTGTTTCAAACTAAAATATGAAAATAAGTAAAAAGAAGATGGAAAGAGTATGTGTGAGGCCCAGTGGAAGAGAAGAAAAATGTTCAAGTAAACCCACAACAAATTACCTAAGAAACAACAAATGTAATCAACTTTACATCTACCACACATTGTAATAGTAACAATGTGTCATTTAGAGTGATATAGAAACATTATCTAATCTTGTTAAGCTAACAATCATAATAACCAGCATACATGCATCTTTTTACCATCTTTCCTCAGTAAGGTCCCTTTAACCTTTAACCCAGGCTCAGATGTTCTTAACTCTACACACACATGCTGCCTCTGCTCTTTTACAATAGATATAACGTTGAAGACGAACCATTTGAAAATTGACTTTTTTAGTTTTAATTTAAAAACTTCACCTTTTTTGGAAGGTCAAATCACTTCCTCATTTTTCTAAGAAGTTGCTGTTTTTCTTAAGTATTTCAAAAAGGACAAGTGATTCACTTCTCCTTTTAAAAATAAATGTATTTGGAAAATGAGTTTTGCTGATGATTTGCTTTTCAATTTTTCCTTTTAATGAATTTATTTTTTAACAGTTTTGAACTGACTTCTTTGGTTTACAGTCACAAATGCAGAAGAAACAGGCTGACTGGTGGACTTTTAACACTGAATGGCAGAAGCTTACAGGAAAGAAGGAGCTGGCTGGTGGGAGAAATAACAGAAGTAGGGTGAGGCAGACGGGATTAGAGAAGCTCAAAGGATCAAGAAATCTGTGTTGGTACATAACAGGCTGACTGATGAGAAAAATGAAAATGGGTAAGCTGGTGAAAAATTTTCTTAAAAGTTGCAAACATTTCTGATAAAAGTGCTGAAAATCCCAAATTCCTAAAGATTTCCGATGAAATTCCTTAACAATTTCAAAGAATGTTCCCAAGTGAACATGAAGTGTACACATGTAACTTTTCTGAAATTCTAGAGAAATTGTTTCTGCAAATTTTAAAACATTAACATGAATTAAAAACATTAACATTTTAACAACAAAACTCCTTGAATCTTGAAATTCACAATTTTTTTTACATTTCCCAACAACTTCCAAGAAAATTACCCAAATTCTAGAAATTCTTTGATGAAAGTCCGGGAAATTTCCACGAGATTTCCCAATTATTTCAAATAATATTTAATTTCCGCTAAAACTCCTTATAATTTCCAAGAAAAGTCTTGAAAGAAATTCTGGCAAGGTTTTCTAAAACGTCCTGAAAATGTCCTTAAAACTCACCAAACTTTGCACATGCGTGAGAAAAGGTGAAAAATGTTGCACTTTATGAGTCTCCAGATGGCTGCAGTAAACTATAACCCCTTGACATAGGCACAAGGTCAGACTTTCCTGACGCTAACCCAACAGGAAGTCGGCCATTTTGATTTAATTTCAAGGAATATTTTTTATTTTTGTCCCATTTCGAACTAACCTTCTGTAGGCCTTCCATTGGATACTCTTCAACTTCAAACAAACAAGACCTTGACTTTGAGTTTTTGCAGAAGAGGGTGTGGCAATGGCAGGAGGTTGTTATGAAGCTCCTATACTATGCTCAATCTTCTGATCTTCTTCATATTCAACATGTTGGCTTAAACTCCAAGCTTACACACTGGACAGAGGAATATGAAATGAGAGGTGTTACACTGCTATAAGCTCATTTAACTCTTGAACATATCCACCTCAAATAAGGACAAATAAAATGTTTTTTTATTTGACAAAAATTGTTGTAATTTTCGTACTAAATGTTTTATCTGATCCATTGAATGCATGTTTGATGAAAGCTGTGCATGGACCAACATTCAGTTTTGTTAGCTTTGTTGATTCAGACTTCATGTCAGTGTTGGTCTAGCTGAGCAGAATGCCCAAATACTGAAGAAAAAAGAAAAACACGAATAGCACTAAAACAAAGTTGCTCACAACAAAAAACAACACAATTATGACAAAAGCAATTGGAAATGTTGGTGTTAGACCAGAATACTTGGTTCAAGTGTAAATATCTTCCACATCAGACCCCCACTTTCTCCATCATGAACTTGCGGCTGAACTCATAAGCCAGGAAAAGAGCTCCGTTGGCAGGGAAGGTTCGTATCATGGTCGGGGTCAGGCCGGAGTACAGAGCAGTAATCCCTGTGGGACATCAGAGAGGCAAAGAGCTACACAAGTTGTTCTCAAAATATGAGTCAGGACTTTATCTGAGGCTGATTAGTAACACAACGCAACGGTGTGACATTTTTGGGAGTTAACTTTAGTTTTGTTTTGACTCTGAGATTTATTTTATGATGAGGATAAGAATGTAAAGATTGACCTCAATTAAGCTTAAATTACACATCCACATAACAATCTCAATGAGTAAGGGTAGCTGAATTTGTGGCTAGTCTTGTTTATTAAAGTAACAGAATCTCTCCTACAATCTAGCTTCTAAACAGGTCTAATCAAGTCCTAAACCTGTTCCATGTGCTCTGATTCTAAGTCATTCTGTATCTAGCTCCCCATCAAACCAACAGATGGTGCGTCATGTGGCTGGCTCATTATTTTTATATTCCACAAAATGTGTAAAACTGGTCAGACGACGGTGTCAATGAGCTGAAGTGTACAGTTAATGTCCTTCAAACTGATTTCTTATGTTAAAATAATAAAAACTAGAATGTTTTTCACGCTGACTCTTCAGAGGGACAACATAGGCTAACTCTGTATTTTTTTAACTGGTCTGAACCAGTTGAATTCATATTATGTATTATTGTACATTTCAATCTTACCCTCAGTGCGAATGATTCCCATGAAGGTCTTCCTGAAACCCTCCTGCTTCCCAGCTAAAGAGTGCACCTGGATCCTGGACTTCACACAGTCTATGGGATAGACCACCAACCAGAGACAAGCTCCCCCAAATCCACCGCTGAACATCAGAGGAAGCATACCTGCAAAGACCAAGGGGGGTTGTGTTAGAAGGGGATCAATGAATCAACTGTCTCATGAAATAAATGTTAAACAATATAACCATACCTATGTTTTCTTTGTCTGTGCCCATGTACTGAGCAAATTTGGAACGACACAGTTCATAGGCCCCAAAAAAGCAGAAGTAACCAGGAATTTCCCTCACGATGGTGGATGACAGTCCCTGATAGAAACCAAGAGGACCATCTGTCTTCATCACTGTCTTCACCACTGTCCACACTGTGCTGAGTTCACAAATCACACAAAAGAAAACCTAGTCAAACGTGTGTCAGATAGACTGCTAAAGACATACTGCTCCTTTTGGTCACACTGACCTTTTCTGTCCACTCGCCACCTTGCCGCTTGCTTCCATTTCAAGCATGGCCTGCAAGCGACATTTCACCAGCTCGGTTGGGCAAATGGCCATGGCAGAGAAGATGGAAGCCAAAGACCCTGCGGAGGCCTTCTGGATATCACTGATGATGACCGAAGAAAAAAGCAATGAAAGGCTTTTAGTGTGCAAACAGAAGGAACACATACTCAGGATCGTTCAATGTTTGGCCAGCAACATAAATTCCCTCCTATCGTGAACATAATTAGAAAATATAAAGTTGTGTTCCTCACAACACCTCTTTTGCTTTAGCCTGCAAAGTTCAGTGTGATAACTTTGACTCTTTGAATCAGCATCTGTTTGGTATATTAACACTTTGATGATCAATAGCCATTAGTTAGCTTGAGAAGCATTCAATCAATGCAAACATGTCAAACATGTTCCCACATCCACAGTCCACAGACATTCTGACAAAACACCTAAACACTTTGACCATCTTGTCCAAGGTCTTTGTAACTGGTTCAGAGGCAAATGACTTTCCCATCAAGTCAAGCCTAACCAATGCTGTGTCACGGCAATGTCACAGAAGTCATTCAGTGATTCTCTACAGTTAATCCGATTAAGGTTGTCAAATTGTTATATCCCAAAAAACTTTTTATTACCACATGTTGTGAAACAAGACATTATCTGATATTCAGATCATTGAAAGCAAGAAATGACCAAATATTTGGTGATTTCTGTTTTTGCTTTTAATCTACTTTTGAGAGTGACTTTTATTTATTTAAATCTTCAATCAATCCTCCAAATATCCCACAAATACCCGAGATATTAACTTTACAATAATATGACATTGTAAGACATCACTTAATTGTGTAAGAAAAAGAAACATTGTGCAAAAAAAGGAAATCCATTTTAAGGAAGTTATAGCTGTGAAAGTATTTTAAGGTCAACATGCGGGAAGACCTTTTCACGAAAACAGTTCTCAGAAATCATAAACAGACCACTTTACTTTCAGTTAGTGGAAAGTTGAGCCACACCTATCTGATTGTGAGAACATTATCAGCACAGCCAGTTCTCAAGTAGACAATTGGTACAAATAAATGACAAACCTAAGATTGGAACCTTTCTCCATGTTGCACACGTAGCGGACCACATCCTGACAGCGACCGTAACTCAAGAAGAGCACGGCGTTCTCGCTGATGTTGGCTATGAGGGCTGGAGTCGCACCTTTGTAGAGACCACGAATCCCCACCTGCTGGAACGTGGAGGAGAAGCAGTGGATGAAGCCTCGGTACGCTTTGGGGAATGTCTGCATCTTCACCTTTGTGGTGTCAAACGGCTGACCGCTCAGCACACATGCTACACCACCTGAAGAGGGATTACAAGATACAGTGATTCAAAAAGAGAGTTGAAACTGTCACAGCCAGTTAACTGTGTTCACACTTTTATGTTTTTATTTTTTACAAATAGAAATACAATATTTTAAAACACAGCTCCACGGTAAGTGAGAATTTGCTTTAGGAATGGTGGCCAGGGAAATTTTTTTATGCTTGATATGAAATTTTCAGCAACATAAAAGTAGTCTGTATATGCTGCTGAACTCTTAGTCAGACTCATCTTGACTAATACCAGACTTTCACTTTCAGATGAGAGCGGAAAAGCCAATTATCTGTGGTTCAGTGGTCGTCTTTCTCAAAACAGTCAACTAACTGTTTATATTTATGCCTCTCATTGCGAATGGAAACAAACATTTCAGATGAATAATGTAAGCACCTTTTCAAAGAAAAAGAAGAATGTTTAAAAAAAAAAGTTGTTCTTCAGTAGATCGAGGCAGCCGTAAAAGAAATGGAAACAGAGGTCAGAAATGATAGCACTGATTCTGGACATTTAAAAGCATCAATATTATTTGTTTTGTTTGTACTATTGTTGTAAATAATGCAAAAATCAATAAACCCCTTTTTTTGTTTTACAAAATTACAAACAAAGGAAATCATATCATAGCACTAACACTGTGTGACTAAGATTATACAAAGATAAATAAATCCATACATCCATCTTGTTTTTCATACAGGCGACTCACCTACTGCTCCAGCAGCAAAGTCAATGATGGCCTGGGTTGCCATAATGATTCTGAGGATGTGAATCTGAAAACAACACAAACGCATTTAATATCAAACGTCACTCCTAAAGATGTGTAACAAAGTGTAGGATTATAAAAATAAAAAAAATAAAATGAATAAAAACGAAAGTGAAAGAGCCGGTAAAAAAAACACGTACGTGGTTCAATTAAAACTGACCTAGATGTAAAACTATAAAAGGAACGATCATAAAAAAAAGGTTTAAATGGCAGAAGAGATAATAATTGTGTAGAACCCCAACACATGTTGCTCACCTGTCGTCTCCTCGTTCGCCTTGTATTGAATCTGTCTCTTACTCTAAAACTGGTGTTAAGACGCGCCGCCTACTTTTTAATACGTAACTAAGTTTCGAAATGAGCATCTCAATTCCCGGAATAAAACTTGAAATTGACCTAAGAGAAGAGGGCATTGGTCAAGAGTCCCTCTGATTTCAGTCAAGCTCAGCGGTTTCCATCGAGTCAGTGTCTTAAAGGAGGCATAATGTACTTCCGTCTTCTCACCAAAATGCTTATGAAATCTTTTGGATGATTGCAGCAAGTCGTTTCTGCTGTGCGTTGGAGCGCGCACTTTACGCCCCTAAAGCGCACAAGCAGATGGGCCTATCAAAGTCACCTTTAATAATACAGGAAACAGTTGAATTAAAGCTCCAAATTAAAGTCTACTGGTTTGGTGTACTGCTTTTGAAATACCCTTTACGCGGAATCTGTTTAACAGTGCTCTTCAATTTGAAGAATTTGATATTGAAACGTATTTGGAAACCTGTTTTAATAGGAAACTCTGAACTTCCGTGTCGGATTCAGACATTATTGATTCGCAAAAAAATAATCAGTTATTAGCCTACATAGTTGGCGTACATGAAACGACTGAGAGCCGTTAGTCTTTCCGGGTGATATCAGACTTTGTAACGCGCTGACTGCTGAGAGATTAATGCGGAAGAGACACGACGCTGACTTTCTGTAGTTGTGACATCTAACAGTGGCCACACGATGGCAGTAAAGCCCCTATTTTGCTGGAAACTCTCAGTTTCTGGTCCAAGAACCACTAGGAGGAGTAAACCCAGCAGCTGAGGACTGAAACAACCCTATCGAAGATTGAAGAGTCTCTTTTTCCTCATGTCTGCTATTCAAATGTTTTAAAAAATGTAATAAGAAAATGTTTCTGTTTTAGACGGAAAGCTGCAGCCCTGTTTTTTCAGCCTACCACGAGAAATGTGAAATTGTATTTGTTCTGTATGAACTATTTATAAACGATGTAGTTGGAATAAGTATGTTATTGTCTAAGATCACGAGGTTTTGCAGTAAGCAATAGGTAGGGCTATTATTATTTGGCTGAAAAATACGTTAGGATAATGTAAAAGCTTTCTTATAAGGGATAGTTGCTACTTTTGATGTCTTAATTTGAAAAGTAGGTCTGAGTAAAACTGGATAATTAAGGACTTGATGAAAAAGAATTACCCTTTCAAAAAAGTGGAAAAAATGATCACTCTCCAAAACTGACAGTTTGGGCAGATTATTATTTTTTTCTGGGTTTTCATATAGGCTATCCAATCATAAATAGCCTCCCCATTTTAAAAGAAAATAAATAATATATCTTAAGAGTAACGTGTTTTTTTTTTTTTTTTTAATTCAATTTAAAATGTCATGTCTAATGAGGTGATATCTTCAGAGAGTGAGAACTTCTGAAAGAGAAAAGTTAATTTTTCGGTCCTCTCAGATGTTAACTAGGCCAAAGAATGAAAACATGGACCATTTTTATTTATTTTTTTCATCCAATTCTTTCGCTGCCATGCATTGGCTCTCTCTGAGTGTCAATCAAATGTGGGCGGTGTCAGCTGACAAATGATAGTTCCAGTAAGTCCTCACATGCTGAAGGCTACAACACAGAGAGTCAACAGGCTGGACGGAGGGACGGAACAGCACTACGACTGGATAACAACAACAAACCTGAAGGCAACTCACTTTAGACAACTTTTTTTTTTTCTCTCTCATGAAAAGCTTTCTTTGACACTTTTATTTTTTATTTTTTTATGATTGTTTCATTTGATTTTTACCGGCTTGGGATGTGACTTTCAGTGTAGACTTTTTCCCAGACGGAGCTCTGTTTTTACCGGACATATTCATCTCGTATTGGCGCACATTTCAAAGGCGAAGTAGCTACTTTTGAGTTCGTCTCAAATACATGACATTTTAACCCTCGGCTCCGTCACCTCTCGACCATGGCGGAAGCGGCCCAGCAGCCACACCTGGTGGAAATCGACCCGGATTTTGAGCCCCTCTCGCGGCCCCGGTCGTGCACTTGGCCCTTGCCCCGGCCGGAGTTCATCAACCCGGGAGACTCCAACACGTCCTCCCCGGTGCCCTCTGTGAAGCAGGAGCCAGGAGCAGGAAACAACGACTTCATCAACAACCTGAGCCTGCTGGAGGAGACCGAGGACTTCGCGGAGCAGAAGCCGGTCATCCTGTGCACTGATTTCCAGTGTCAGGAGAACTGCGTCCACCAGCAACCTCCACAGCAACATCAGCAGCAGCAGCAGCAGCAACATCAGCAGCCGAACCCGCAACTCCCGCATCACCATCATCAACCACAGCATCAGCAGCAGCAGCAGCAGCAGCAGCAACAGGTGCCTCTGCTCTCCTCCCCGGTCGGCTCGTCCACCTCGGCGGCCGCTGCTGCCGCCGCTGCCCAGAGGAAGAGCAGCTCCTCCCGGAGGAACGCGTGGGGGAATATGTCATATGCAGACCTCATAACCAAAGCTATCGAAAGTTCTCCTGAGAGCCGGCTGACTCTGTCTCAGATCTATGACTGGATGGTGAAGAGTGTGCCTTATTTTAAGGACAAGGGAGACAGCAACAGCTCTGCAGGCTGGAAGGTATGTTTTTACTATTTGTATTATTATTTGGGTACTTTTACCCAGGTGATAGTGTGACTGTGAGTTAGGACTTGCTTCTTTCACTGTTCCTTTGGATAATGTCTGTGGTGTTTTTTTGTTTACAGTGGCTTCACATGGACCTTATTGTGCTTTAGTGTTTTATCTCATGTGGTATCACTGTCATATCCCAACATGGACTTTTTTGGTGCTTGATGGGCACTTTATTGTCGCTGTATTGATGTTTGCTTAGGGTGCTTATTTTTTAATCGCCAGCATCATCATCTATGGTTATCTATGTTATTTCTCCTGCAGACATTCCTGCTGATTACTGAATCAGCACTGAATGTGCAGAAGAGCATGCGTGAAGAGTTAAACAGCTGTTAACAGAGTTTTATCATTTGCCCTCCTTCGCAGTCTTGTATAACCATTGTCATCCAGTGTATGGCTCTTCAGTAATCTGACCAATTGCTACCATGACTTTAGACAGTCATCTGACTTCTCCTGCAGTATGTGATTTGTATGAGTCTGCTGACTCAACAGGGTTTCTTTCTTTGCCTCATATCTTCCTTCAGTGAGCTGTGCAGAAATGCTGTGAGTTCGGGCCCAGCATGTTAGAGACAGCTCTCCTCTCTCTCTGCTTTCATTTGATCATTTGTGATGGATTTTAAGGCTGAATCACAGTTTTCCAGATTAGAGTGTGTGCTTTCAATGAAGCTGTGTTGGGCCCATGTTGTAAGGAGATATCAGAAGCATTCATGTCCCCTGGAGACAGTCCAAAACATTACACAAGAGGGGACTTATAATTTCTGATGTGGTGTGACAGGCCCTCCCACTGAACACTATTGAAGGGCGTCAACCTCCCTTTGGAGACACATAGTTTCAGTGGTGTCTGACAATAAATTGATGACAGTCTACTCTCCCAGGGGAATTCATATTGAGCCTGCAGTCACATAGAGAGAGATTTATGATGGCTTCCCTCTCTTATAAGGCTGTCTGGATCGCTGAAGAACATTAAAGCAGTTATTGAGGTTTTTTTTTTTTTTTCTTCCCACGTCAGAGGCCGCTCTCATGTTTGAGTCATGTGTTAAGAGGTGACACACACACTTCACTCGTGAATGGAACGACTGGTTTGGTTGAAATCATAAAGACAGATGTATTGGGGAAAACAGTGATGTTGTGATATTTTTTGCCTAAATCCGTCTTTAAAGTTGATCGAACACAAATGACCTGTATTCACGCATTTGACAGCCTCTGTTTACAAAAAGTATATAAACTCGTGTCGAGCTGTTGAACTTATAGTCCAGTGAGTCAGATCATATGAGAGTGGAAAAACCCCTTCAGTGTGGTGAAATCTAAACAGTGAACAGAGCAGGGGCTGGGCACATGTGTTCCCAGAAGGTTCACTCCTGCAAGGAAAATGAACTTTTCCTTCGTTTAAAAGGTTAAATGTGTATGTCCTATCCCTCAATTAACCAGAGTAGTGCGCTAATCAAACTTGTACTGTCATCAGACATGTACTTCCAGTAACAGCATTTTTGCTTGTTTTACAATAACCAGCAGATAACACACATCCCTAAACTGAAGTTGTCAATGTATGGTGACAGTAGTAAAAACTCAAGTCATATATGAGGAACCACAGGGTAGCATAAAGTTATTCTGCGGAAGAAAACAGGAATCAGGGTTACGCGTCAGTAGGCGGTCGAACCAGGCTGATTTATAAGACCAACTTTTAAGGGGTTAATTTTCACCAGCTGCCTGTTGTATTTTTTTTATATTACTTTAAGTGGAATAGATCATTTTCTTTTTGGCACCAGTCTTGTATCACTTTGCCTCGTTGTACCGGGACGGCTTCTTTCTTAAACAAATAACTTTATTGATTCATTTTTACTATAGTTTAATAACAGTTGTGAATGGTTTTTGTGCGGACCATTGTCCACTCTGTCGTCTGCTTCATGAGCCGCAGGCAGTGCTGAGAGGATTTGTGCTATAAGGTTGGAATGAGCTGGGGTGTCTGTGGACTAGTGGTTGGTGCGTGCGCCCCATGTACAGAGGTAGTGGTCCTCCGGGGGTTCAGGACTGGCCTGTGGCTTCCTTTTATGGATGTCATCCCCCTCTGTCCCTGGTTTCCAGCTCTGTCCATTGTCTCAATAACAAAGGCATACGTGTGAAGAGTATTCTGGATCATTAAAAACATTAAATGTCTACATTTTTATCTGGAAATCTGAATGAGTGATATATCTGTGATAGGTCTTTATGAGTCCTCTATATCAACCTAATGGTTTATGTGAGTCAGTCTCAAATAGGCAGTGAGGTGAAGCAACACCTAGAAAAAAAAAGAAGATTCTTAGTCATGTAGAGTCTGAGGTTGCAGAATGTCAACAGAGAAAAAAATCAGAGCTTGTGTTGACTTAAATGTAGACCGTCTTCCCAATTAAAGTCTTGTACTTTGACATGATGTAATACGGAGGTGTGTGAGGAGTAGCAGCACCTCAGTAACCATGAAACACTGCTGTGGTCAGCACTTTCTCTCTGGTTACACTGTAATTACAAAGTTATTATATGGCAGAGTGTCATTCACTGTCTCCCTCAGTATTTTCCACAACAACAGTGGATCATTTACACCTCGTAAAACAGTCACACACATGTCTTTGGGTCCTCATTAATGTACATAAACAAACAGTGAACTTTCTCTGTGTTTTTCCGTCTGATAAACAGTTGCAGTGTGATTGGCGGCTTGCAGAGGCGAGCTCGGCCACCACCCGGGCTCGCTGCTTATCCTCCCATGTTGGGGGTGTAGACTGAGTAATACTGTGGGAAAGCAAAGTGCCATTCACTGCTGCGAGGGGAGTTATTCATAGAGCTCCCCTCGCTTTCTACACAGGGGGGCTATCACACATTGTCCCTCCTGAGCCAGCCGCTGAGGGCCAGAGACGAGCTCAGGAAAGATGACATTGTGGAATGAACATTTTATGGCTAGCTGTATGTTCCTTGTTGTTGTTTTTTTTCATTAGTGCATCTAGAATTAAAACACAACCATCATCCATTCATCTTATAGGTTCTATCTAATTGAATTATTTTTTTTTCAATAATGAATCAGAATTCTTACAGCTTTTTCATCTTCTACTACCTCCCTCGTGATATTCTGTCTCCAGTGAGACAGACAAAAGTGTGAAAGTGTCAATGTGAACCTTCATGAGAGCATACAAACACCACCAGGATCAGAACTGTACATCGTAGGTGGTGTGTGAAAATACTGGTCTGATTGATGGTTGAGTGTTGATGCGAGCATTGGGTCACGTTTGTTGTTGTTGTGTCTTTTGTGCTGTAAGACGGCGATCACAATCACAACACAAGTGTGCTTCTTCTCGTCACCGCTGGCTGTTCGGCCTCTACAAATATTGTTTGTAGTTCACATTAGGTTCAGTCAAAGTTAAGCCGGGATCATTTCTCTGTGTCACTGATCTCTCCGAGGCTCACCTGAAGTGAACCGGCTGAAGTTTTCATTAATCTATGATTAAGGCCGTCTGCTCTGTAATTGTTTGAGGCCCAGCTCGGTCCTCGGCGCTGCTGATCCTCCACAGTTGGTCGTGTCTGAACTGAGTCATGGCGGCCTCCACACTTCTCAGACCGTCTGCGACAGTGTGAGATTCTGAGGACAGTTGTGCCGGGTGGGACCAGCTTGGAGGAGCTCTGTGAGAGGACTGGACTCTGTCTCTGGATCAGGACGCCGTCCAAAAGGAAGAGGAGCAGATGGCACAAATTATGTATCACCAACCTTAATGGAAATTTCTGATACCCAACAGACTGCCTGTTTTTTTTCTCCATATCACTCAAAAGGGTATAACTGTATATGTTACAATTATAGCAATTAGCAAATTGTTCTTAGACTTTATAGCACAACGCCTTTCTTAACACAGCACAATATGTACAATCCACACACATCTATACCTACCAGAAATCTCTTCTTGTATTTCTCTACTACACATACGTCACTGCAGGATAAATATTTGGTTTCAGCTCGTGGAGTTGGGTGGCTCAGGTGCTCTTTGATGTCAGTATCAGGATCAATTCTGTCGCAGGTTTTCTGTGTACGCCGCGCTCTCTTGACCTGGAATTCCTCGGCTTACGCTGGTAAACACTCCCACGGATCTCCAAACAAAATGTGGCGGAGTGTACAAACATGCAGGTCAGAGCCGATTGGACAGAAAGCGACACGCGGGTCATTACCGTGTAAATGTACCCATTGACTGCGAACCCTTGCAGTGTGACGGTGGAGGTATCACCGAGAGGAGAGGCTTGGATAGGCTGTGTCGCAGGTGTGTGCATGCAAGTGTTTGGGATCTCTACTTCAGACATAAGTCATGGATCCCAGAGAAAGGATATTAGGGAAATAAGTTTGATCACGATCCTGATGGCGGCAGGATTAGCAAGTTTTAAAATCTCATAAAAACAATCTGCAGTTTTGATATTATTATGGATTGATTGCTTCATTTTTGTTGGTTTTTTGATTTGAATGTCACCAGTTAGTATCCATAGAAGATATTTTAAAGAGTCGTGGGCCAACTGGTGGTGCCATTGACTTGGAACTACATTTTATTCCTGTAATTATTGTTACTTTACGGCTAAAACACCTGATATCTGTAATAATATCAGGTGATATATCAGCCGGGCCTAACATTCAGTGTATTTCATTCCATTTAGGTTCAACAGAGTGTTTGAATCTCGCCATACACATACACAATATGTATCCAATGAAAATACAATATTGTAGATATTGAGTTGCAAGACGTCACACAATGGTTTAATACATGCAGAGATGTCAAGAGATGTGCTGGACAGATTTGATATTTTCTTGTTTATTTGCCACCCAACCCAATGAAACAGCTCAGTTAAGGTTATTCTAACTGTAACTTTTCTGTCAGACACTCGATGTTTGAGGTAACAGCCGTGTGTGTGGTGGGTTGTGCATTTCGGTACGAGAAATGTGTTTCCCATGGACC